ACCGCGCCCGGCTTGGTTTGCTTTAAATAGGAAGGCTCTGCAGCACGTGTGCAGGCTGATAGGCATGAACCAGAACACAGCCAGACGCGAAGTATGGAAGAGGGAGAGACTACAGGGACAAAGCTCGCGAGCAGACGGGGGACGGTCCGGGCAGAACTAGAGTAAAGGAAGACCGGGCTGCGCTCGAGCCCGCAGCTGACGTCTTCGGAGCCGCGGCCCCCTGGGAGAGCGCGGCGGCCGGAGGGTCATTACCCTGACTGGAGAGACGGCGGCAGCTTCCGGGAGGAAGTGACCTTTGGGCTGGGCTCTGGGGACCAGCTGAGAGGGAAGGCGAGCGGCGAGCAGGGCGGGACAGGCGGTTTACTGAGGCAGAGCGGAGCGCCACTCCCGACTGCGGCTCAACTTACATCTTGTCCTTCTGGTGCTGTCGCTTCCCCATGGCGGCGCGGCGGCGGCGGCAACTACCTAGCACGAAAAAGCAACCGCTGACCACTCAGACCATGGAGCCACGGCCGAGTTTCGTGACCACTTCCGGGTTTCGCGGCTCGCCCCGGAAACAGGCGCTTGGCATGCTGGGAATTGTGGTTCGCTAGCGCCAGGTGCGCATGCTCGGAAGGATCGCCTGCCCAGTATGGGGTCCTAGCTAGGTGTGTTGTGTCTCGCTGGCGCCTTCTCGGGGCAGAGCTCCCTCAGCCTCGAAGCCCCATCTTCTCGAAGGGTCTCTCCCGACCGCCTCGTCTACCCCCCTCAGCCACGGCTCAGGGCCATTCCCATACTGGGTTCTCAGGTCTTATTTTATTTTCGAGACAGGATCTCGCTCTGTCGCCCAGGTTGGAGTGCAGTGGCGCAATCACAGCTCACTACAGCCTCGACCTCCCAGGCTCAAGCGATTCTCCCACCTCAGCCTCCCGAGTGGCTACGGGCACGCGCCACCACACCCGGCTAATATGTTAATTTTTTGTTGAGACAAGCTCTTACTATTTTGCCCAGGCTGGTCTGGAGCTCTTGAGCTCACACAGTCCTCCCGCCTTGGCCTCCCAAAGTGCTGGGATTACAGGCCTGAGCCTCCGCGCCCGGCCAGCGCTCAGGTCTTTTTCAATGTCCTCCTAGGGCTTCAAGTCTCATGAGCCTCCACCCCATCCTTTCCCGCCTCCGTGGCTGACTCCTTCAAAGCCATGTACCACCCTCGTTCTACTCGCTCACTTCTCATTCTCTCTGCATATTCCGTCCGCACCGTCTCCAGGCCCCTTGGAGGCCCAGCAGCAGGTGGCCATCAAGCCTAGAGGTCCAAAACCCTGCCTGATCCCTTCCTTCTCTTCTGCCAGACTCTTGCCTTGGGTCAGAACAGTACCTTGTGCCCCCAACTACACTCAGGCCCGGGGTAATCTTGCCTAGGCTCCTAATTTTAAACGCCACTTATATCCCATGACTCCCAATACTAAGTCACCAGCACTCCAGGTTCCTGATCTCCACTTGGGTAGCCGCTGATCTCAAATTTAACATGTCTGGACGGGCGTGGTGGCTCACACCTGTAATCCCGGCACTTGGAGAGGCTGAGGCAAGCGGATCACTTGAGGTCAGGAGTTCAAGACTAGCCTGGCCAACATGGCAAAACCCTGTCTCTACTAAAAATACAAAAATTAGCCGGGTGTGGTGGCGGGTG